GGAACGCGTGCCATAGGTTAACGACCCCTGCTCAAGATGTTCAGCATCACAGCAACACATCTCATACTGACACAAGCTGAATGAGGCTCCTTTGTCTATGTGTCTCCTATAACCTCTGAAATCAGCTGGTAGGAACTGCGGCTGAGCGATCCAAAGAGAGACTCAGTCACCACTGCACATTCCCAGCACCTAACAACCTAGACTCTAGGTCCTTGCGCCTGAGCTGGGAATTAACCCCAGTTCTGCGATATGGCAGTTTCAGGTAAGTCTCAGAAGTCAGAATGAATCGGGGGAGGGAGCCTGGGGGGAAGAGTTGTTTGTTTTAATGGAAGGTTTTCTAAAATACGTGAGGCTCCACATGTTCAATGGATAGCCTGATCACACGGGAAAAGACGGCTGTAACAAAGAGTACATAGAAATATTTAAAAGACTCACTGTTGCAGACAGCTTCCCTCCATTCTTCTGAACATACATGACTGAGTCTCGTATCAACAAGAAGAGACTGAGTAGGACATGCTCCATGTCATAGATTCCATACATGCCTTTGGTCAGCCCTTCCAGGGACCGAATATATTCTCTCCAGTAGTTATCTATCTCCACAACGTTGGCCAGGCACCCTTGCATGACAACACTGCAGTATCCGGCACAAGGCTTCGCCATCAGTAGCCCTTGGCAATGAGAACAGTACCACATCCTCAGCAGTGCACGTCCACATTCCTTGCTGAATTTTAAGTGGTCGGTAGTATTTATGACTTCGATCCCCAGGTTGAGCGCTTGTAGAAAGGCTCGCGTGGCCTGCAATGACTTTGACACCTGGGTCATCATAATCTTGGGGTAGTTACCAAACACCCTGAGGTCCCGCCTTGCTACCCGCAGGCATTCTATCATTTCTCCGGAGAGGTCAGGGAAGCCTGGGTTTATCAAGTGTGAGTAGACTAAAGGGAACAAGCTGTCAAAAAATTCATTGACCATGTCATTCACATTGATGTCAGAGCCCAGTATGTAAAGCGAGATATCTGTAAAAAGTTCTCCGACAAACTTAAGAGCTCTGGACCCCATGTTCTGGAAGTGGTTCCTAAACATGGTGTTGGTGTAGTTTCTTGCATGCCGTGCTACAATTTCGAAGGCTTCTGAAAATAAAAGCAAAACAAAACAAGGAATTAAAAGACAAACTCTGAGATGGGACAACAAATACTATAATCTGTTTGTCGCTAAGACTGAGGTCCTATTTACACTGCTGTGCATCCACTGACTCATGTCCACATCTGTAGCTGTCACTGCTAGAGTAGAACTATATCATATCAGAGGCCGTGTATAAGATCTGAGGAGTTTATAAACGCTTTAAACACAAGTTACATTTCAAACAACAAAAGCGATGAGCTAGTTAAAATTTCCGCTTTTAAAGAAAATATGGATTACAAAAATGGGGTAGTATTTCAAGTCCACTCTGTCTCTCATATTGATTTGAAATTAACCGGAATTCTATATCAAGTCTCTTAATTTAAGATGGATACATGCTCAACACCAAATTATATAGTATGTCAAATCAGGAAATATTAAACGCTGACATTCTACCAAGGAAAGGAAAATACTTATAGGTTCATAGAGGTTATCGGGATTGAATTTTCTGCATTGATTCTTCTTTTGACTTTTTTTTTTCAGTCACTTTAATTCTTGTGAAAGGTATTGGGGACTAGATTCTCTGCTCGTGTCTATGGGCACAACTCCATTGACTTCACTGGATTCATACCAGGTAAGTATCCAGTTCCACCTCCTCCCCGTTGGAAAAGGAGTTTATTCATGGAACAGGCCAATGAAGGAACATTTCTAGAAAGAAGGCAGTTAAGTATCCATCACTGATCCCTCTACGGAAACAACCAGCAATGGTGCCAAACATGAGGGTGAATTTTTGTGAGGCTCACCATTAGGTTCTGGACTGAGACCACCGATCAGTTCAGACAGACCAGAAAAGGCTACCCGATACCACTGAATTTCACTGTAGCTCCCTAAACCACATTAATGTCACATTAAGCAGAAGTAAATGTTAAACAAAATTCCATATGCTCATGAAAACATAAGAATGGCCAGACCAATCCTCCATCTAGCCCAGTATCTGTCTGCTGACAGTGCCCAGTGCCAGATGCTTCAGAGGGAATGAACAGAGCACAGTAATTTTGAGTGATCCGTCCCCTGTTGTCCAGCCCCAGCTTCTGGCAGTCAAAGGTTTAGGGTCACCCTCACCAATCAGTGAAGTGCTGCTGAAAGTATAACAGGAGGCTCGCCTAAAAAAAAAAACTTTCAATGTGAGACATCCTCTGGGGAAAATACTCTTCCTTCCCACAATACCAGCATTGGAAGGGACCTCAGGAGGTCATCTAATCCAAACCCCTGCTCAAAGCAGGACCAATCCCCAGACAGATTTTTACCTCAGTTCCCTAAATGGCCCCCTCAAGGATTGAACTCATAACCCTGGTTTAGCACGCCAATGCTAAAACCACTGAGCTATCCCTCCCCTAAATTAATGGAGATGTCTTCTAGAACTGGAAGTGACCTTGAAAGGTCATTGAGTCCAGCCCCCCACCTTCACTAAGAGGACCAAGTACTGATTTTGCCCCAGATCCCTAAGTGGCCCCCTCAAGGATTGAACTCACAACCCTGGGTTTAGCAGGCCAATGCTCAAACCACTGAGCTATCCCTTCCTCTCCAAATCCACTCCACCCCTTGCCCACCCCACTCCACTCCTAGCCAGCTGCCCAGGTTTTGGTGGCTCCACGCATGACATTTCTCAATTGAGAGGAAAATCTGTGATTCTTCTACCCCCATGGTCCCCTCAGCAGTGGAACAGGCATGGAGTAGGAGTTGGGAGCCAGTCCCTGCTGCAGGCTCCAGAAAGACGTGGTGAGACACAAGGCATGTGTGCACACACCCTGCAGCTCTAGGGATAGTGCGGGAGGCAGCTGGAGGCTGCTGCAGTGGTGGTGGAAGGTACCAGGGGCTTAGTTGCGAGCTGGGTGGGAAGGACAGGAGTTACCTGGCAGATCTAGGGGGGAGGGATAATTCAGTGGTTTGAGCATTGGCCTGCTAAACCCAGGGTTGTGAGTTCAGTCCTTGAGGGAGCCACTTAGGAATCTGGGGCAAAATCAGTACTTGGTCCTGCTAGTGAAGGCAGGGGGCTGGACTTGACCTTTCGGGATCCCTTCCAGATCTCTGAGATAGGTATATCTCCATATAAAACAAAAAAATCTGGGTGTGAGGGGGACTTGCCAAGGGCAGTTAGCTGAGGGGTGGGGGTTAGGGGAGAGGAGTCTGGGGAGTTGGCAGTCTGGCGAGGTCACTGAGTGGGGAATGGGCAGACTAGGGGAGGGAACGGGGTAGTGTCAGTGGGGCCCGTGGTTTTTCCTAGGCCGTGG